GTTGGTGTTGCGGTCAAAGTCAGTGGTGAGCGAAGAGGCAAACGGGAATCCAAAGCCACCGTATCCGCCGTACAGACCGCCATAGCCGCCATAGCCGCCATAAAGGCTGCCGCAACCGCCGCAGCGCTTGACCGGGACTGCATGGGCATTAGCACTGGCTGCTGCAAGAGCAACAGTCAAAGCAAGAGCAGAGATGGAGTATCCGAGCATGGCTAAAACTGAGAGTATACCTTGTTTCTTGTGCGGACTGTTGGTTGTGTTGCTGGTTGTGTTTGTGGTGCTGATATGGCGAGACTGTAAGTATCTGGCAGAGTCCATGCCTTTTATACTGTTTATAATTCTGCTATTACTTTCAAGGCAACGGCTAACGGGAGGTGCTGTAATCATGGATGTATCTCAAACGTTGTATGCAAGATCTGCTGTAACAGTTTAACTCTTGGATGAATCCTAAAAGTCCATAATAAGCGTGGTTTATTATTGTACCAACAGTATTAAAAGTAGCTATATATTAAACAGTGTTAAAAGGTTTATTAGAGCCAACTGTTAAAGCCATTTGACATGCATCAAGAGCTCTAGCTATATAACCACCTATGCCACGTCATCCAGCAAATAGCCCAAGCACTTTGTTCTGGCTCCTTGCACAGGGTTTATGGTCTTAGTGTCCCTGTAACTTTAACAGTTGGGTGCAGGTTATTTTTAAAAATAGTACCAATGGAGACAGATGAACTCGTGATATTCTCTTCTTTATTGTTGAATGTGCAAAATATATTTACAGAGCCAAGTCGGAATACATCGGATGCGGTTGAAATAATCACACTCACCGAATCATCTTTTTTAAACACAAATGACATTGCCTTTGTTGCTGGTATGCACAACAGCCTAACAGAGATTGTGTCCATATTGGCGGGAAACGTGCAACAAATATCAACTGACACAAAATAAACAGTGGTAGGAAAGGCAAAGAACGCTTCGATTCAAACATGACACTGGGCACCCATTTTATCCCTAGTATTCAAATGGCACCTTGCCTAGAGCAGGGATTTTGGTGCAAAGCGCTGTTATAACAGGGAGCAGCAAGCAGTCTTGCCTATTCCAGAAAAAAAATGAGGTCATGACTTGAAGGTGCTGACGTTGGGATTAATGTGTCGCGCCAATGGCTAAAAGCAACCATTGCACGTGCGAGGCATTGACTGGAAGCTTTGTACACAAGTTCAATGTAGCACTAGTGACATTCATGCTGTGGAGAAAACATGTGGTTCACAAACATAGCCACAAGCAAGATAAATACAACATGTGAATGTATTTCGCGAACGCATTATTGATACAATTCATATGCGCCTCGAATGACCTTATACTTAAAGCTCAAATAAAATAATAAATAGCAGCCAATCAACTTGCCAACTTGGCTTGCAAAAGGCGTCCGTGGTCCATGGGTAAGATCTCACCCTTCCATGAAATTCCTAGGGAATTACAATGTTAGGTGATGAACCGGGTTCGAGTCCCGGCGGACGCATTCTTTTTGTCAATTATATTGTTAGGATGCAGTATATTTTTGACATTTGTTAGCCAATATCCGCATCGACGATGTTGCTTCACTATCAATTCTCTCGATATTGCAGCTGACAATGTGATGCTAGGAGACTCGGCACATGGTGTGGTTAACCAAGCCTTACGATCGTGTTGCCTGGTGATTACCGCCACTCGAGTGTAATCGATCAAGCCAAGCATCTTTTAGATATTCCCACGCTCCAAGGCCCATGCGGGCCTAACGTCAAAGGCCGCCTTTCCCACCACAAGATCCGCTCCACTGTTGCTTCTTACTTTGCTCCTAGTATATTCTATATTTCAATTTAACACATTTTGCTATTGTGTTCAATGCTTTCTTGCCTGGCCATGCCTCGCTCTGCTACCGCCAAGGTGCTGCTGGCCAGACTGACTCTTTCCTCAAAGTCGCTCAGGTCCTTTTCTTCTTCAGTTGATACCGCTGTCGAGCCCATTCGCGGACTAGACCTCGGAGTAGCGCACAGCAAACTACTATTGCGCACAGTAGCATCGCTTCGCAGCAGCGCCGAGCTTCGCGCGCAGGGCGTCAGCGAGGGTGACAGTCGCAAGATGAACATGTGTCAGGCAATCAACGATGCAATGCGCCATACCTTGGCAACCGACGACACTACAGTGGTGTTTGGCGAAGATGTGGCATTCGGTGGAGTATTCCGTTGCTCTGTGGGACTGGCAGATGAGTTTGGTGCTGAGCGGATATTCAACACTCCGTTGACGGAGCAAGGCATCGCAGGATTTGCTATTGGCATGGCGGCAATGGGTCATACAGCAGTAGCCGAAATACAATTTGCTGACTACATATTTCCGGCTTTTGATCAGCTAGTCAACGAAGCAGCAAAGTACAGGTACCGTTCGGGTGGCGAATTTAGTGTCGGCGGGCTGACTATTCGGACACCCTGTGCAGCTGTTGGCCATGGCGGCCATTACCATTCGCAGAGCCCCGAGGCGTTTTTTGCACACGTACCAGGTCTCAAAGTCGTTGTGCCACGATCGCCAGTACAAGCCAAGGGTCTGTTGCTGGCTGCCATCAGAGATCCGAACCCAACACTGTTCTTTGAGCCAAAGATTCTGTACCGTTCGGCTGTAGAACAAGTGCCCATCGATGACTACGTTTTGCCTTTATCTAAAGCAGAGGTACTGCGCCCTGGCAATGACGTCACTGTGGTGGGGTACGGCGCTCAAATGTATGCGCTAGAGAATGCCATTCAAATGATAGAGCGCGATATGCCCGGCGTGACTTGCGAACTTATAGACCTGCGTACAATCTTGCCATATGACGCGGAGACGGTGGCTCAGTCGGTCAATCGCACTGGCCGGTTGGTCGTTGCTCACGAAGCTCCACGCACACAGGGCTTTGCCGCTGAGTTGGCGGCTGAAATCCAGGAGCGGTGCTTCTTGCGGCTTGAAAGTCCGGTCGAACGTGTGTGCGGATTGTTTGTGCCGCACCCTCTTGTTTTCGAGCGGTTTTATATGCCGTGCGCTGTGCGGGTATATGAGGCTATTCGGCGCACGTTGACCTACTGAAAGCATGGATTTACTGCGTTATCCGCAGGAGCCAACAAGGGATCGTATTACTGGCTTGTATTCCAACGACGTTGCACAAGGAAGCGCGCCCGACGGTTATGCTGCTATGCTCTTTATTGTAGTTGGTCGCACAATACAATTAATTTGCTCAGTTGGCCAAAAAGTCCAGAGTCTGGACTGCTCACTCTCTTTTCTTAACGGAGCTTTTCTGGGAATTAATTATTATGAGCTACAGCTATAGACCCCACGACGACTACTCAAACCGCAACGCCTATCTCTCGGCGGCGGGCGGGGGAGGAGAAGGAGGACATGCCCACATTTCAAACCCCGTTCACTTGGCTTCGGTCGATATTACATCGATGAACAGCCATCGGCCACAAGCAGCACCAACGCCTGCTGCTGTTCCAAAGCCACCTACGGCGGCCAGGAAAAAGGGCGATAGCACAGGCGTGGTTGGGATGGCCGACATGAGTCACTGGAGCGCGCTGCGGTTTGTTGTTTATGTAGGCACGCGGCTGGCTCAGCTGGTAGTAGCCATTGTATGCATTGGATATCTCTCCCAGGCTCGCAAGAATCGACCAGCAGATGCCGCAAACGACGTGACAGAACGCAATACAGAAATTGCAGTATTCGTAGTCGGTGGAATAACTGCTGGGACCGCAGCCATCTCTATTGTCCTGCACATGTTTGCAAAAACCAGGCAGCGTATCGAAATGTCCCGCACAGCATGGATTACGCTGGCGCTGAACTTTAGTATCTTTGTGGCGTGGATCATTCTAGTGCTGATCGACGTTATAGTCGTCGATTGCTCTCGCAAATCTGATGGCTTGTGGTGCAGAGATATCAAGGCTAGTCTGGCTACTGGTTTGGTATCCGCCATGCTGGCTCTAGTCGTTGTCCTCCGCAGCTTCAGTGTCCTGGTGAGAGCCGACCGCGTCAAGTTGTGGAACACGCCGATCAAATCCAAGGCGTAGAGCTGCAGTGTCAGCCAGTTGAGTAAAGGCAAATAAATTGGTTAATTCCTTGGATGTATCAAAAATGGGTCGCAAATGTTTACAATAGGGCTTGGTTCTTCCCTGCCTTCGTTTTCCCAGGGTAAACCTTTGTTTGCTTCTCTCTGCTTAATTCATTGCATCCTCTCTTATAAATCCAATTTTTTTATATAGTCCTTTGAAAGTTTGTAAATGACTACTGCAGGCAATCCACGGAGCCTAAACCTTTTCTCGGGCAGCGATAGTATCATGTCAAGGCATCCACTAAACACCAGGGGCATTGGAATTGGGTCAGCAACATCGTCATCTGTTCTGTATGGAGCGTCAGCCGAGGAAAAGGTTGTCCTGGATATTGGCGCATGCTCCTTGCGAGCCGGGTTTTCCGGAGATAGTGCACCTTTGTACAGTAGCACTATGGCCAACACATACTCGTTGGTTGGTGACAGTTATCTTCACGCCCTGGGCAGCGGCACCAGCGCGTCACAACGGCAAAAGCCGTGGAGCGAAGTAGAGCTGGTGGAGCAATTGCGCGAGGTATATCGGCGCGATTTGCTGGTTGACGCGCGTACACGCAAAGTGGCCGTGGTTGAGGGAGCGCTGCAGCCTACGGCAATGCGGCTGGCAGTGGCTCGCGTGTTGCTGAGCAACCTACAGGTGCCCCATGTATCGTTTTACCCGGCCAGCGTGGCAGCACTAATGACTACGGGCCAAGTCACTGGCCTGGTTGTTGATTGTGGACACCATTGCACTACCATTACGCCAGTCTACGAGGCATGCGCTCTGGCGCCGTACCTTTCTGTTACACCTTTGGCTGGAGTTGCGCTGTTTGCCAACTTGCGCGCATTGCTTAAGCAGCACGCCGGCTTTATCCCGCATGTCGCGGCCGAGAGCACCATTGACATAGAGAATGTGCTGACCAGCCAAGTAGTTACCCACATAATGACCAGGCTGTTGTTCGCCTCTCCCATTGCCACGCCCATGGCGCTGCGAGCTGATCTGGGGGCAGCGGACCGCCATGGCGACGAGTTGCTGGAGTTCTTTGAGTCTAGCTCTGCATGTACTGCCGCACCCCGCACAAAACTTACCGTTGAATCGCTAAAAAATGGTCGTGGTGTACTGGAGTGGCCAAGTTGGATTCGCGAGCGCGCCACCGAAGTCTTGTTCTGTGGCGACTTGGCTGCCGAGCACCTGGGGATTGCCGACACCGTGGCACAGTGCATTGCGCGCGTTCCAGTTGATACTCGCCGCGCCCTTATTTCTCGCATACTAGTGATAGGTGGAGTAGCTGATGTGCCCGGATTCAGGCCACGCTTGTTGCATGATATTGCCACGAGCTTGAGGTGCTCTTCGCGCTGGGCAGCCTTGGCCGATGATGCAGCCTTGGTTGATTATGCAACAGGCGGGAATGCCCAAGTATTTGCGCCTTCCGACAGAGCCTGGGTTGGAGCATCAATCGCTACAAGTGCAAAGATAGGTGCAGTTGAAATTGGCAGAGAGGAGTTTGATGGGCACGCGCTGACTGACTGGACAACCATTAAACAGTGACAGCTGGAGTGGATATCCAAAAAAAAAAAGATAGAAGGGACTGTAAAACAGCAAATATTATATAGTGCTGCTTAATTTGCTGCAAATGTGTTGTCCTAGATACAAACTAGAAGCTGCCCATATCTATTTGGCG